CCCCCAGACCCCCCCCACCAGTGTAACCCACCCCCACCCCCATCAAATTAAAAAAGCTTCTGACACCAATGGTCACACATTGTTCAAGCCAAGAGCCACTGACAGCGCTGATGGCTAAAAGCACCCCTAAAGGGCAGATTCTAGAATCGCCCCTGATGTAAGCTTAAAATAACATGATTTTATAAATAAAATGTCATGATTTAAAGTGGGCCACTCTGAGGTGACGTGACAATATTGTATGGACAGTGGACATATTGGTAGAAGGATGTTAGAAATGCAGCTGCCTGGGAAAAAGACAGAGAGGAAGGCCAAAGAGAAGATATATGGATGAGTTAGAGAGGACATGGAGGTAGTTGGAGTGAGGACAGAGGATGCAGAGGACAGAGTGAGATGGAGGAGGATGACTAGCTGTGGTGACCCCTGAAGAGGGAAAAGCTGAAAGAAGAAGAAGAAAGTCTGGCATAACCAGTCTGTCAGGACATATGTACCCTTTTATGATGAATGGCCACAATTAAGTCCAGCCAGTGTATGTGCAATTTAGATGAAGAACATTTGAGCATTATTTATGGAAGCCACACTGTCAGTCAGAAATGCTGAGGTGACTTTAACTGACTCCATTACACACTATCCCACACACCTGACTTAAAAACAAATATTTATCTCAGGAACACCGAAAAAACAGAAAAAGAAATGGACTTGATGTTCCCTCACCCAGACGTGGGTCACTGGGGCCCCACTCTGGAGACAGGCCTGGAGGTGGGGAACGCAGGCTAGCGCCTGTTGGCCGGGCTTTTACCCATGGAGCTCAGCCGGGCACAGCCCGAAGAGGAGACGTGGGTCCCCATTCCCATGGGCTCACCACCTGTGGGAGGGGCCAAAGGGGTCGGGTGCAATGTGGGATGGGTGGTGGCCGAGGGCGGGGACCCTGGCGGTCTGATCCTCGGCTACAGAAGCTGGTTATTGGGACGTGGAATGTCACCTCACTGGTGGGGAAGGAGCCTGAGCTGGTGTGTGAGGTTGAGAGGTTCCAGCTAGAAATAGTCAGACTCACCTCTACGCATGGCTCTGGCTCTGGAACCAGTTTCCTTAAGAGGGGTTGGACACTCTTCCACTCTGGAGTTGCCCCTGGTGGGAGGCGCCGAGCAGGAGTAGGCATACTTATTACCCCATCTTGGTGCCTGGGTGTTGGGGTTCACCCCAATGAATGAGAGGGTGGCCTCCCTCTACCTACGTGTGGGGGGACGGGTTCTGACTGTCGTTTGTGCTTATGCACCAAATGGCAGTTCAGATTATCCACCCTTTCTGGAGTCCTTGGAGGGGGTACTGGAAAGTGCACCTCCTGGGGACTCCCTTGTTCTGCTGGGGGACTTCAATGCTCACGTGGGCAATGACAGTGAGACCTGGAGGGGTTTGGTTGGGAGGAACGCCCCCCTGATCTGAACCCGAGTAGTGTTCTGTTGTTGGACTTCTGTGCTCGTCATGGATTGTCTATAACAAACACCAAGTTCAAGCATAAGGATGTCCATATGTGCTCTTGGCACCAGGACACCCTAGTCCGCAGTTCGATGATCAACTTTGTCGTTGTCTCATCTGATCTGCGGCCACATGTCTTGGACACTCGGGTGAAGAGAGGGGCAGAGCTGTCCACTGATCACTACCTGGTGGTGAGTTGGCTCCGATGGTGGGGGAGGATGCTGGTCAGATCTGGCAGGCGCAAACGTATTGTGAGGGTTTGCTGGGAATGTCTGGCAGAGTCTTCTGTGAGAAGGAGCTTTAACTCCCATCTCCGGGAGAACTTGGAACATGTTCCGGGGGAGGTGGGGGACATTGAGACCGAGTGGGCCATGTTCCGTGCCTCTATTGTCGAGGTGGTTTACCGGAGCAGCGGCCGCAAGGTTGTCGGTGCCTGTCACGGCGGCAACCCTCGAACCCGGTGGTGGACACCGGCGGTGAGGGATGCTGTCAGGATGAAGAAGGAGTCCTATTGGGCCTTTGTGGCCAGTGGGACCCCGGAAACATTGGGAGAAGTTCCCCTGGATTGGCAGACCGGGGTGGTGGTCCCCCTATTCAAAAAGGGGGACCGTAGAGTGTGTTCCAACTACAGGGGAATCACGCTCTTAAGCCTCCCTGGTAAGGTCTATTCAGGACTTCTGGAGAGGAGGGTCCGTCGGATAGTCGAACCTCGGATTCAGGAGGAGCAATGCGGTTTTCGTCCTGGTCGTGGAACACTGGACCAGCTCTACACTCTCAGCAGTGTCATGGAGAGTGCGTGGGAGTTTGCCCAACCGGTCTATATGTGCTTTGTGGATTTGGAGAAGGCGTTCGACCGCTTCCCTCGGGGAACCCTGTTGGGGGTACTCTGGGAGTATGGGGTACTGGGCCCTTTGATACGGGCTGTTAGGTCCATATGACCAGTGTCAGAGCCTGGTCCGCATTGCCGGCAGTAAGTCGGGCTTGTTCCCGGTGAGAGTTGGACTCCGCCATGGTTGCCCTTTGTCACCGATTCTGTTCATAACTTTTATGGACAGAATTTCTAGGTGCAGCCAAGGTGTTGAGGGGATCCGTTTTGGTGGCCTTAGGATTGCGTCTCTGCTTTTTGCAGATGATGTGGTCTTATTGGCTTCATCAGATCGTGATCTACAGCTTTCGCTGGAGCGGTTCGCAGCCGAGTGCGACGCGGCCGGGAAAGGAACACTTCCTCCAAAGCCGAGGCCGTGGTCTTGAGCCGGAAAACGGTAGCGTGCCCTCTCCAGGTCAGGGAGGAGGTCCTGCTGCAAGTGGATGAGTTCAAGTATCTTGGGGTCTTGTTCACGAATGAGGGAAAAATGCAACGTAAGATCTATAGGCGAATTGGTGCAGCGTCTGCAGTGAAGTGGGCGCTGTGCAGGTCTGTCATGGTGAAGAGAGAGCTGAGTCAAAAGGCAAAGCTCTCAATTTACCGATCGATCTACGTTCCTACCCTCATCTATGGTCATGAGCTTTGGGTTGTGCCCGAAAGAACGAGATCTCGGATACAAGTGGCCGAAATGAGTTTTCTCCGCAGGGTGTCTTGGCTCTCCCTTAGAGATAGGGTGAGAAGCTCGATCATCCGGAACGGACTCAGAGTAGAGCCGCTGCTTCTCCAAGTCGAGAGGAGCCAGTTGAGGTGGCTCGGGCATCTGGTTAGGATGCCTCCTGGACACCTCCCTGGTGAGGTGTTCCGGACACGTCCCACCGGGAGGAGACCCAGGACACGCTGGAGGGACTGTTTCTCGGCTGGCCTGGGAATGCCTCGGGATTCCCCCGGAGGAGCTGGCCCAAGTGGCTGGGGAGACGGAAGTCTGGGCCTCCCTACTTAAGCTGCTAACCCCGCGACCCGACCCCGGATAAGGGGAAGAAAATGGATGGATGGATGGATGGATGGATGGGTGGGTGGATGGATGGATGGATGGATGAATGGATGGATGGATGGATGGATGGATGGATGGATGGAAAACAGAACCAAACATAGATGAAAGAAACTAGGCTGCTGGAATTGGGTTTAAAAAACCTGACGAGAGAGATGAAACAAATGACTGAGGGTGTTGGCTTTATTATTACAGATAAGACCATCACAGGAAGTCGGTTGCTATGGAAACCAGCAGCTACAAGATGCTAATTGATCAGTTGGCAACACTCATCTCCAAGCAGTCCAGGGTCCTCCATTAGTATTCTGGAAGTTTTGACCAATTGTAATCTTATGAGTCTTCTTGAAGCCTAATCAGCTCTGACTTGACTCTCATAATTACACTTATCTGCTCTCTGCATCTCCATAAGGCGTATGTTCCAGATATAGAAAGGATGAGGCACTGGTCTCAGATGTGAGACGAAAAGAAAAGCTGAATATTGACAGTCAGACTTAGAAAAACAGGCCAACATAATATAATGCATGCATTCAAACTGGACAGGCCCTAAACTATTCAAAGTGGAACACATTACATAACCATCAATGTCTTTCAGACATAGTTCATAAATTAAAGACAAACATTTAAATCAGGTTCACAGGTTCAGGTTAAAAGTTTCAAAAATAAAACAAAGCAAAGTCTTTAACAGACCTGTGTGCAAAAATTTATGGTTAGCTTAACCTCAAGTTTTACAATCAATAAACAGAACTGCAGGGTGT